GCGTTTGAGGGCAGAAACTAACGCCTTTGATGAATTATTCAACAATCTAGGTATCGCATGTTGCATAAAATTTGTCAACTTTATCCAAGGTCTTCAAAACAAACTATGCAAGAATTTTCACGCAACTTTGTCAAAGACTCTGTCAAAGGAACACTTATGCTGTGCTTTTCCAGAAAACCCCCAAAATGTCACTATGACATATCAATAGTGCAGTTAAATCAGATAGAAACAGAAGCTTTGTCGCTCGGATTTAAATTTCATATTCCCAAAATACATGCCAACAGAATGGACACAGAAACTCAATCTGAGAATTCATTTGATCATATCAAAGATTTGCACCCAGTTAGTGATGAAAAGAACGGCTGGCTTAAATCTAAGTTAGTTGATATCGCGAACCGATCTCTCATTACACCTATACCGCAGCCTAAACTTTTGTCCAATGACCAACTGACAGCATTACGAAATATCGGTCGAAATGGTGATATATATAACGTTCAGATTAAGTTTCTGAGATGAAGTCGATTGTAAGTGACCACATGTGATTCAAGTTAGATAAAAGTAGCAAAGACTCAACTAATACAACTGAGGAAAGATCTGTAGTTTACCTGATTAACCTATAATGTACCCTAATTACCGAAACCTGATGCAGACCTGATATTTCTGATTTAACAGTGTGTGTAGATGATTACAAAATGTACCATAAACATTGACATTTAGGCAAAGGTGGAGGCTGCATAATACATTTGCGATCTCATATTCTATCCACTACAATATTTCTACAGGATTGTGAACTGTTAAATGACACTATATTCATCTATGTCGATAATTATGTCCATCTGCATTTTATAATAATCTGAATGTATAGACCACCAAGTGCGGCCCGAGCAATGGATACACATTCAAATCAAGTATTTACATAATTATTGCCGTTACACGAAGCTAAGTTGATAGGTGGCGATTTCAGTATACCGTCCGTTAATTGGAATCCATTACGTGGTACTCACGTTGAAAAGCTCATTGAATTACTGGAAATATACAGGTGGATACAGATGGTCAATGGGCTTCCATAAATGCTAGCCTATTAGAATTAATTTCCGTACACAATGCTCCAACATATAATGAATACACTAGTCTTTAATTTTCGGGCAGTGATAACAAAGTTTCAGCCAGTCAACTCATTGTGCGAACATGCTCTTGTACTTCTAATGGAACAAAAGTTCTCATAGATACTGTCAGAAACTTTATAAATACCGAATGGTCCTACTCCGAATTTCCTCTGCGTGGTCTTAGTTGGGACATAGTGTTTTCTTCTGACGACTTTAATAATGCATCAGATTTTTATTTTAATCTCAAGACGTGTTTAAATTTGATGGCCTCACTTATAACAAAAACAGTCCCTCATTGTGATTATATTCCTATCAAAGTCAGATCTTAGCTGAAGAAGTTGCGAAAATGTTTTTTAACATGAATTTTCGGCTATTCTCAACATTCAATCGGTACTTAGCAACACTGGGAGCTTTCGGCAGACAAAAAATTAGAGGTTGGGCGACGGTCTTTCAAGTTACAAAATAAAAATAGAACATCAAGCAAACTGAAGTCAACTTTCTTCGTCACAAGCTACGCATCTGGTCAGTTCAAGCGATCACTCAGTTTAAACCTTTCCTAAACTGTTTTGTGGATTAACTCAGAGTTTTCCACATGCTCGACGGAGCTTACCTAAACCAAGATGCATTTACCGATGATCCGTTTGGCATCTAACTGATTGGCACTTAGTGACCATATCACAAATTGCAATTATTCGACCCCGAACTAACCTCTGTAATTTAACATTTGACATGCCGCGGTTCAAACAGTACTTTATCCACTTTCTTTTGTTGCATACTTCATATTTCCCCTTTTTAACTATTCAACAAATGTTTCTTGAGTTTTCTTTTATCTCTACAACTATTGATGGTGTTTCACACATTGAGCCTTAAAAATACATTGGAACACGACCCAATAAAGCTTAATACAACTAGTGACTGCTCGGGTGGAAAATCAGAGGCTGTTCGATCATAGAAAGCTCAGAATATATTCCAAATTATCGTGATTTTCTACTAGCTCATATTATACTAGTACGAAACTTTTTATCATTACTAGCATCCAATTATTGTTTTTTTACTTGCCGTGTTACTCTGAAATTTTTCAACCTCAAACCGCTCTTCCATATTCTTTGATCGGTTATTTGTCCTTATAATCTCCAAACTACATATAGAGTAAGCCATTAGTTATCTTCATAGCAGTGTGATATGTAACAGCTTGAGTTAATTGGTTAAGAGTTGATCTAGAACAACTAGGCATATATCGGAACAATAGAGCTCAAGTATTCATTCACTTCCTTGTTTTGTATAAACATTATATTTCCTACTATTTTATATTGAATGTTGAAAAGCTTTGTGTATTTGAACAGGCAATTCCTGGCTGAACTATGAATATCCCACAATCTAAATACTAATAATAATTCATTCTCAAATAACACTTTGTTACGTGTCTAAATGTTACGTGTGAACTTTTACACCTCTTTAAGGTCAAGTGGGGTTTCATGAGCAAATGGAAATGATCCCAATTTCTTATGCCGAATGCCTCTTTGACTCATGTTTATGACCCTGAATCGGTTCATCCTCCTAACGAGAAATCATATTGTAAGCAAGACTGGACAATTATGCTAAGTATGAGTACACTTCTGACTCCACAAAAGTTGAAATAATTTCGATGAAAAAACCACTTGGTATTCGAACACTATTTTTTCTCAACTAAATTTTAAAAATACATATAATCCTCAACTCTCTGCCCTTTTAAAACCCCTTCCATTTGTACATCACTTTATTCATTCAACGCCACACTGTGGCTTGTTTTCTTTAACCTAGTGGGATATGTGTTTGAAAATCGACCAAATAAAAGAGAATCAGTATAAGTAGTCATAAACTAATTGTTCCGTCACAAACGACTGGACTTCATTCATGAACACTGTTCGTTCTGTTTCTCAACCTCCCCTTTCTCTTTCCTTTGTTCACTTGCCTACGTTGTCCATGTACTCTATAACATCAACACAATTGAGCAGCTTATTAAAGTAAAGGCTATGGCGTTTGCAACAACATCATCTTACCAGTAAACTAGAATGCCTCATGCAAAATATTTCTATATGAGAATACATTATTATTATTATTATTATTATTAGTGAATAAGTCTTTAATTAGATCGTGAACGGGATGTTATCCTTTCAAACGCTCAAAGTTTTTCAACATTCAGTATGACATAATTGGAATTATAATGCTCAGACCAAATAAGGAAGTGAATTATTAATTGGGCTACAGTGTCCTGACATTTACTTAAATGTTTGCCGCCAACTCTTGACCAGTTAACCCAATCCTCCAGGGAGCACCAGTTCTCTCAAGATTACAGGTACACCTTGCTGACAAGTGCCAAGTAGCACGAAACCTGGGTCCAGGGTTTCCTGTCGACTACCTCCAACCACCATCTGATCTCAACATAGTGCACGAAATGTCGAGTCACCTAGACTGGTGGCCACATTGTAAGTTGGTCGATAGCATTCGATCTGCACTAATAAGGACTGGGCACACATGACACTGATCACCACCCAGTAATCAATCAGTTGTGACGATTTACAGTAGAAGGCGTTACTGGTTAAAGCGTTGTCAAACTCCAAACGCCTGTAGCATCTTCACTAGGAACACTAACGAACTGGCAAAAAATTCATGATAAGTTGGGTGTCCTCGAAATCGCTACGCTATGGGACTTCTTACCAGCGGTGAAAGTAACAGAACCTTCTGCAGTGTTCTAAGGTTAACCATTCAAAGTCATCCACTTCCACTACTAGTTCAGCCTCCAGTAGTAAGAATGGGGGTTTTTCATTAGTCCTTGCAATTTGTAATAGTGTGGAGATCCAATCGCGCTTTGAACGTATCAACAGAAAGTTCTGATACTATGTATCCTGGCAGAGAAATCCGGTAATTCACCACTCCATGTGAGAAAGGAGAGTCCAGGCACAGGCGACTGGATCACGGCCTTTTGGATTTTCATAGAATATCCTTTCAGACGATCAGCCCTAAATGGAAGAAGAAGATAAAACAACAATACCAAGATCTCTATTCAATATACAGTAAGCCATTTTCAGATCACTCAATAACGTGTGATAACATAATGGAAATAGACCGAAGCGTCTCAGTCTGTCTTCACAAATGAGGCTAGACAGACATTATACCATTTTGGTCCCTTGCCACTGAAACCGTTTTAGCATATCTGCCTCATAATTGAAACAAGGACTCTCTGCTTGAATCCCACATCCAAGATACGACTTCACGAAAATCAGGTATAATAACCTGAAAATTTCTTCGTCCAAGTACTGAATTGTAAAGGGCCCATAAGATCATGAAACCTTTGGCAGCGGCAGTCCTGCAGCTACTCGTAGGGTTGAAGTTCTGGACTAATGGATCTTTATTGTCCATTACTTTGGGTTATACAACTCCAAATATGAGTCTTCAGTAATAAGGATAGTAGGTTGGTGGACCTCCGTTAGTCCTTACAGTTTGCCTTCCAGTAAAGATCCAGCTTCTTCAAAATATTCACTGATAGAGCTGATACCACTTGCTCAGGTAAAGCATTCTAGCCAATTTAGTTTATTAGATCTCAGTTTGTAAATCTTCTTCCTATGGACTCTTAGATTATTGGTGCCGGAGGGAGCCAAAAAAATAAGACATATTAACACCGAAGTCGTAATTGAAGATACGAAATGCCTTGCGTCCTACGATATGACAAAGAAGACTTTATCCTCCACTCACGGAGGGAACATAATGGGAACCATAGATTTAAACTGGAAAGAAAATTCTCAGATGACTCAGATACAGATCTCAAGGAATAAGTAGTTCACTAGTTATGACACCCAAATTTGAGGTTTGAAGTTAGAGCGTGGATTTGAATGACGTGCTACTCACTTTGGTGTTATGCAGTTTCTCAGTACAGTTTGTGATAGAGTTTCATCTTTCAGTTCAAATATATATGAAGCCTTCTATGATCTTATTAAGAAGTTCACTTCGTTTTACTCTAAAGTCCTTATAAGTATAAGAGAAGGTATTTTGGCAGAAATATTCCCGAGCCTTCTTTTGTCGTATGTAAGTAGCTGGGTTGGAATTTCTCGAGATTTACAGAATGCCGCGGTCCTCCTCATACTGACTCTATTTTTGCTGGGTCTGTCGACATTTTTACTACTACGGCACTTAAACTCGCATGGTATTTTAATGTTTCTAAATTAATTTTTATGTTGACATAGTGCCTTTGCGTGTTAAAACCACTCAAGTTCCTCGGGGATTTCGCCGAAGAGATAAGATCAGGTACCATGCAATCAGGTTCGGGCGCAAATTCAGTGAAATAACGGAGGAGTTAAAGAAGGTACAGACAAAGGAAGAACGCAGAACTACTATCATAAATTTCGCTAGAAAGTGACTTGATTGTTTTTAACCCTCAGCCTACAGAATCTTCAAGTTGCATGACATCGAAAAGTCGCCGACGCTGGCCTATGGTCGACTTCCTGAGTCTTTTTTTGAACCAGATGAGGAAGATGTCTCTTCATTACCAGAAGATCTCCGCTTGATGATAAGCTCGATAAGGGTTTTTGGGCAACTGGAAAAATCATTTTTTATCAGGTTTTGCAAATTCATTGAGACAATCGAGCTAAATGTAGGCGAGTATCTGTTTCGTATTGGTGATGAAGATAAATATGTGTATGTTATTCGTAGTGGTAGAATCCAAATCACTGTCACGGAACCGGTAAGTCTTCAATCCTATTTAGGTAGACAGCATGTTATTTTTTGCTAAGAAGAGTTTATTTCGACTGTTTACAACAATAAATACAAGCTAAAAACGCGTTATTTCTCATCACTTCAAAATTTTGGGAATTTAGTGTCGATCACTTGTGTGGAATACTGGTCAGATATTTCGCAACACATTTTTTTAAAAATCCAAAGTCACTAAAATTTTTGATATCATGCAAGCCGTAGTACGTCTACTAATAACCTGAAAAGTCGGTACCGTCCAGTTTTATAGTTATGACTTTTAGTTTACTACTATTGAGTTTTTATACAAAATATCCACTGAGCCCCATTATATATATATATATATATATATATATATATATATATATATATATATATATATAGTTTTTTCTGTTTCCGCTGGCTGTCTCTTCAGACTTCTCCAAATCGTCAACGTGATAACGAGTTAACTTGACTCTTCGTTTTTCCTCTTTGGATTTAAACTACAAATGATAAAAGCTGATACTATCTGGAATCTGATTAGCTTGCTATAATAAAGGATTCTCATTTATCCTTTATCTTACTACGCTTTGAACAAAATATGTCATTTTCCATTCCTTGATATCATTTGTTGTTTTAACTTGCCTTTTGGTTGTTTCTAGTTTATAATTATGATGGTGTCACTTCTTTCAGTCCTCATTTTTGTTCATATTTTCTGTAAAGTGCGGCAACTTGTTTTCATCGTTTTACCTAGCTAAATTAATTCATATTCAAATATCAAAAATGAGTCACCGGACCGCTTATTTTCACGGTTTACAATTACAACTAATGGTGTTTAAAATAATATTATGTTAATACTTGTTTGGTTTTCTGAGTTGAATATTTTCTGGGCATTAATATGCTTACTAAATATTTTCTCTTGGGTCTAAATGTATAGGATGGATCCAAGTGCATCATCGCTGAAGTTGGAAAAGGTGGGAGTATTGATAGTTTGCTATCTGTTCTGAGTATACTCACTGGTTATCCTTCAACTTTTGAGTTCATGGAAGCAGTCGCTTTGGAGCCCACAACAGTATTATGCTTACCGGTCCGATCATTTTTAGAAATATGCAAAACGCAAACACCTCTTTTTCGCATTATTCAGATGATCGCAGTTAGACTTCAGCGTTTAAGCTTCAACGCGTTACACACTTATCTTGGCTTAAGTTCGGAACTAATTAATAAGGTTAGTATTATAGTTTCTTCAACCTCTTTTACAATAGACTATCTGCTACTTAGTAAGGCACCTAACTGGTTTGATTAATTGAATTCCACTGCAATTTTTCTGTTGTTTTTTGCGTTCAAAATATCAATTAATAAGAGTTATCTATCTTAAAGAAGGGCATATGCTATGTCATAACCACTCGATACACATTCTTGTTGCTTTTTGGGTTCAGTGTTCGATTTCTATCTCTGCTTGTTTTTAATCGTCTGATGAAGGATGATACTCTGAAAAAATAGTTAAAGATGTGTTTGCCTAAGCTTTATGTCGACAGTATTGTGTATAAAGTTTCACTAATATATTTATAAGGTTTTCACATACTTTACCTTTGATTCCTATCGTTTTTCTTTCAGCGTTAATCACTGGTCACTCCATACCTTACGAAAATCAAAGGGATCGTAAATAAACAATTTAGGGGTATATATATATATATATATATATATATGTACGTACTCTTAGTTCGACATTGATTAATGTCCGTAAGTTAGGCAAACAGGTTTATATCTTTTATAGATTATACCTGTTTTGTGTAACTTATGTCTGAAACAGATTCATGTTTTGGAAGAATAGACATTGTTCATCTCTTTAAGCGTGATACAAAAGTGTTACTAGCAGTTTTAGAATGTCATAAAAAAATAAGTGTGGTGTAAAGACTGTGATTTCAGTGAAGCAGATAAAATTTCACATATTGTACTTTTCTGAAGTACTGAGAAACAAAACAAAAGGTATCGACTATTTGAAGAAAATATAACCATGGGACAAAATGTATGTAACGAAAACAAACTCAGGACTAAGAGGAAGAGAAACAAATGAGTAAAACTATTCCTGTGGTTGGTTTCAAGATAACATGCATCGCATGAACCTCGACTACGATATATGTATCTCCTAACTCAGCATGTGGCTTCAAGTCACAAGTTCTGTATCTGGATTAGTGATGTTACCAGGCTACACAAACCATAGTGGGCTAATCGCATTTCGAACCTGTAAACTTGTGACTGAAGAGAGGAATTTTTTGATATCTAAACTTACTTACGCCTGTTACTCCTAACAGAGCATAGGCCACCGACCAGCATTCTCCAACCCACTCTGTCTTGGACCTTCTTTTCTAGTTCCATCCAATTCTTGTTCATTTTTCTCATGTCTATCTCTATTTCCCGGCGTATTGTGTTCTTTGGTCTTCCTCTCCTCCTTCGACCTTGAGGATTCCACGTGGGGGCTTGTCTTGTGACGCAGTTCGGTGCTTTCCGCAATGTATGTCCTATCCACTTCCAGCGCTTCTTCCTGATTTCTTCCTCCACTGGGATCTGATTTGTTCTCTCCCACAGTAGGTTGTTGCTAATAGTGTCCGGCCAACGGATCTGAAGTATTTTGCGTAGACAACTGTTAATAAACACCTGTATCTTTTGGACGATGGATTTCGTAGTTTTCCAGGTTTCGGCCTCATACAGTAGAGCCCCCAAATGCCCTGGTACGGCCGAGAGTGGTGAGAGTCCGCTCTCCCTCTCGAAATGCTCTCACATGGCCACGCGTATATAGCCTCTGCCAGGGAAGTCCTATTCACTGCCTTCACGTGGCGGGGGTGCTGTTTACGAAAATGAGAGGACGAAAAGCGAATGTCCGGCGCTTTAACCGGATCCCAAACCAATGGTGCACATGGTCTCCAGTATCCTGAAGGAACAAATGGCGTATGAACCAATCGTTGGTCACCGGCTACCATGGGACTGCATCTCCTCACGATGCCCCACTGCCTTGTGGATCAGACGTTCAGGTCGAAGGCTCGGGGTGTGGCCCCCTAAGAAAACCACCTACTTCGGTTTGGGCACCCGAGCAGTATCACAGCCCTCACACAAATCAATTGAGATTCGTGTGGCGCATATGTATTTGGTGCCTCCTTGTACCAATACCTATGTGTTAAAATAAATAAAAAAAAATAAAATCATTCAGTAGAACTGTCTCGACATTTGTATTGAAAATTCTGACTTTGGTGTTGGTTGCCAATGGTTTTGAGTTCACGTGGCGGGGGTGTTGTTTACGAAAATGAGAGGACGAAAAGCGAATATCCGGCGCTTTAACCGGATCCCAAACCAATGGTGCACTTGGGCTCCAGTATCCTGAAGGGACAAATGGCGAATGAACCAATCGTTGGTCACCGGCTACCATGGCCCCCTAAGAAAACCACCTACTTCGGTTTGGGCACCCGGGCAGTATCACAGCCCTCACACAAATCAATTGAGATTCGTGTGGCGCATATGTATTTGGTGCCTCCCTGTACCAATACCTATGTGTTAAAATAAATAAATAAATAATTTGAGTTCCAGATGTTCTTCAGTTGTAAATATGCTGTTCTTGCTTTTCCCGACCGTAGCTGCTACCTTGACGTGGTGGTCGGGCTTGCCTATCGTGATGACCCAACCGAGCTATATTGGTTGGAACACATGTTCCTGCAGGTTCTACCATGCCAGGCAGGACGTTTGGAGAACGGTAAGACTAAAAGCAGCAACTCAAGGTCTGAGGGCGAAGTCGTACTGCTGACTGTACAGAGGTGTGACAGCAGTAAGGTGTTTCCCTCGGACAACCAGCATCTGCAGCGATGCTGCCTTCTCACAAGGAAGGAAGGGGTTAGAAAAGGTCGACCCTAAAAATGTCACACCTCACCTTACCCCACGGATTTCCGTCTCCGGCGGTAAGGCCTTTTGAAGAACAGAGCTAACACATTAAAAACCTCCCACAAAAAGGCCGTGCGCGACCGGCCTCAAGCAGTTGTCCCTTGGGCTCTGCGGTCACGCACCCAGGTCGTTAAGACCAACACTAACCCGATTTTCTTTTCAGGTTCCTCAAGAAATACCCTTCCACGGTGTGGGCAGCCGGGAAGTGATATCAGCCCTCATACCCGTAACAGCACACGAGACCATGTTGGTCACATTCAAATCTTTCCTACACCTCTTAATGACTCTCTTATCTCCACGACTAACCCTTCTTACATCCCTTTATCACCTCGCCTCACTAGTGCAAACGATTCGAGTACGCGGAATGTTATTCCTGGTCTCCTGAAACCACGCTCCAAACTACACGTAGTAGCTTTCAACGTCCGAACACTATGCCAAATAGGACAACAGGCTTCCTTAGCTAAGACTTTAGAATCTCGCTCCATCGATGTGTGCTGCGTCTCCGAAACGCGCATACAGGATCCGAGTAGTGTCATTCATTTGACCGCACCATGTCAAAGTAACGAACCAACTCAATTTACCCTTCGTGTATCTGGAAGCCCTGGTGCTACTTCCCGTGGCCTCGCTGGCGTAGGTATAGCATTGAGTCCTAGGGCGGAACTAGCTCTCCTAGACTGGATCCCAGTAGACAGTCGTTTGTGCGTTGTCCGACCAAACGGAACAGTAAGGACTCGGAAAGATAGGGACACTCGTCGTTGCCGGTTCGTCGTCTCTGCCTACTCTCCCACTAACTGCAGCTCAGATAATGTAAAAGATGAGTTTTACAGAAAGCTTTCCGACCTTCTCCGAAAAGCTAGGCGTTCAGATGTAGTAATAGTGGCTGGTGACTTTAATGCTCAAGTTAGTAAACTATGCGAAAGGGAGAGACACCCGGGTGGATCTTATGGTGTCGCGGCTCAAAGAACAGATAACAGTGACCGTCTGTTGCAGCTATGCTCAGATAACCGCCTGTTTCTTGCAAACACTAACTTTAAGCATAAGGAAAAACATCTTTTGACATGGCGACCCCCTAATTCGTCCCAACGCTGGACCCAAATAGATCACATCGCTATCAGCCACCGATGGAGGGGCTCGATAGAAGACTGTCGCTCATTTTGGAGCACATGCTTAGACTCAGACCATGCTCTGGTGCGAGCGCGTATTTGTCTACGTCTTACTGGACGTAGGAAAGATGGTGCAAGGAAACCCCTTAGGGTCCTACTTAATGATAGTCAAGCTAAGAGTATATTTCAGGAAAATCTAGAAAAACAGTTAGGCAGCCATGTAAGTGATGCCCACCCCGAGGCAGCGTGGAATGACATCCAAAAAGCTGTAGAAACAGCAGTGATGTCTGCAAGTACGGTTAATCATAAGGTTAGGGAGAAACACTGGATCTCAGCAGCGTCTACCGCACTGATAGATGCTCGAAAACTCATTCCATCTGGCTCTGAACATAACGAAGAGCGGAGTCAGCTTAAGCGTAAGCTGACTAGAAGCCTACGCAATGATCGTGAACAGTGGTGGGTAGCGAAAGCAAGAGAGATGGAAAAGGCAGCGGCAATAGGTAACAGTAGGCAACTGTTCAGACTTGTTTAGGAAACCGGTATTAGGAACCAAACTGTTAGCGAAACAATCGTAGAGGAAGATGGACATATTATTCATTCTCAATCCAGGAGATTGGATCGATGGGCAGAACACTTTAGGGATCAGTTCAACTGGCCTTCAGCCACACTTCGGTTTCCCACGATCTGCAATCTACCTGAATGGCAAGTTAATGTAAGTCCTCCGACTCTTTACAAAGTTGAAAAAGCTATAGGAAATCTGAAGTGTGGGAGAGCAGCAGGCCCTGACAGGTTTACCCCTGAGATTTTTAAGGATGGCGGTCCAGTATTAGCAGCGAGATTGACTGAGGTCTTAGGTAGAATCTGGGAACTGGACGTAATCCCATCTGACTGGTCTCAATCACTGATTGTGCCAGTTTATAAGAAAGGACAAAAGTCCTCCTGTAACAATCACAGAGGAATTAGTTTGACTAATATAGTGTCTAAAATATTAGCTTCAATAATACTTCGACGTCTAACCAAAGCTCGTGAAATGCAGATTAGAGAAAACCAGGCTGGTTTTCGACCTGGACGTGGTTGTATAGATCAAATATTCACACTACGTCAGGTCCTACAACATAGACACATTCAGACGCCCCACAATGATAGTATTTCTCGACCTTAAGGCGGCATTCGATTCTGTTGATCGTGAGGTTCT